AAGACTCAAGGGGTTTACCAACATCCTTAGGTACATCAATTTCCTTGGCAGAGACATTCCCAATTGAATTCTTAGATGTATCTTTATAACTTCGATTCATTTTTTAGAATGGAGGATGATCCTGGAAGACCAAAGAATAATTCATTATCTGAGAGCTAAATGAGGTAAAACAAAGGTTTTTCTTGCTTGTAACGACAACCCAGTTATCATGCAACTTAGATGGGAGAATAATTTTCCTTATTTTATGCACCTTGGGGAAGAGAAGCGCTTTTTCTAATTGGCACAACTCCTAAATATTAATTCCTACAAGGTTTTACAGATGTAGATACCAAGATCACCTCTTGAATTTTTCACCTGAATTGCATCTTAGTCTTCGATGAATATTTTTCTCAATTGTTTCTTAGTGATAAACTTATTATTCACAAATTTTATAATGACCTTTGAAATACTCATATTTTTCAGCTTGACACTGAACCATGTCATGACATCATGTCTCACGTTGTGCTTCTTCAACATCTGGTATTTCCATTGCAGTTGAGTATACCTGCTCATTAGAAGGACAAATACCATAACATATTGCTTCACATCATGACCAGTGAGATCAAAATCTTTATTTTCATTTTCCTCATCAATGCCTTGATGAATTTGAGACATGGTCTTCACTATGCCAAGCAGGATGTCTGACACATGTTTGTCATCATCTTGATCGCTCATAATGGTTTCCATAAGTCCAAGGTTTTTGACTTAGAGAATGATTACATATAGTTCTAACCATGAGTTAGACTTCCAATACACGTTTACTAGCAACTAAATCATTCTTATCCAAATAGGTATATTGTGAAGAACACAGTATGGATCATACAGACTAGAATGAACTCCAACCACCTTATCAAGATTTTAGATAGTCAAAATTTATGAGCTTTGATAAGGAGTTAATCCACCATCTCTAATTTTACTTAGACTTTCCAATTTCCTAATGAATTCTTGAATATTAGTACATTTTCCAACTAGGTGAGATACTTGATCTCTCTGATAAATCTCGCTTCCCTAGGCTTTTTGACTTTTTTTTAAACAATTGACTCTACACACAAAGGGGGGGGGGTGAATTGTGTTATTTAGAAATCAAGATTATTTTAAAATTTTCTTTCTTAAAAATATTTTATGTTAGTTCAACAAAGATTAAAGAGATAAAGTTAGAGAGAGTGCATCTGAGATTTATATAAGTTTGTCCTACCATTTGTCCTACTCATGTCTCCAAAAGTTTCCCCTTGAGATTTCCACTAAAAAAGAGTCTTGAGCTTTTAAGGATATGCCCACGAACCTCTTACAAATATGAGATTTTACACAGACTGATCCTCAAGCCAAACAAAACTTTTAATAGGTTGAGCTCACAAACCAAATATAGATTTTAACCAGCTGATCTCAAGAACTAAACAGATATTTTTATAGGCTAATCTCAATAATCAAACTTTTTACCGGTTAATATCAATAACCAAACAGAGTTTTTCACAGGTTGAGCTCAAGAACCAAACAAGGATATTAATTAATAGAATCACAATCTTGTATAAGAACAAGTTCAACACCCAACCAATACAACACAATTTTCACATACGGGTGTTTACTCTCAAAGCACTAAGGAAACTTTAGTGAAAAATAGAAAGAAGAAGAAATAATAGTAGAAAGAATGAGATAAAGGTTTCTTTTCAAAAAATTGGTGTATTATGGAATGAGGATAAACCTTATTTATATAGGAAATAATTTATCTAAAAAAGGAAATGATTCATGGGTCAAAATAAATGTTCAATCGATTAAATCATCATTTAATCGATTAGGACACTCTAAAAAGGCGACAACTCTAATTTCGAAAAGGAAGCCCTAGACGACTATATATTTTAATTGATTGAAAGTGTTTCTAATCAATTAAGAAATCATTTTCCTTGATTTAATGAGGTAATACTCTAATAAAATCATCTCTTCGTGAAAAGATGACTTCGGGCTAGGGAGTTGACTTTGATTTCAAAGGCGAGTCTACCAAGTGCATCACTTGGCATGCATATCTTCTATGAGAGGAGCTCGATTATCCTCCTTCAGTGAGTCCTCAGGTGATGGTGTTGAGCATATGGTGGACTATCATAGGCAGGGGGCTTATGTGTTGATCTTGTTCCACGGGATGCGACATGTCTTCTAAATGTTATGGGGGTGCCCTAAACATACCTTCTTAAATGAACTTCTTGGATGGGGCACTCTATCTTATTCTTTAGATGATGACAATCATTTGTGTGTTGGCCCTTGACTTTGTGATACTTACACCACTTGTTTGATTCATTACCACAAACTTCCACTTGAAACTAGAGAATGTTGGATGGCCTTTATGTTAAGTACTTCACACCAAATATGATCTCGCCTGGTTTTAATCGGTGTGTAAATTTCTATGAGCTTCCTTGTAGGTTTGAAGGCCCCCTCTCACATATATAAGATGTGAATTGATTCATATAATGGTGGGAGGATTCATACCTCCCAAAGCCATTATTTTTCGTGTTCTTAGCCTTCTTCTCGTGGTCGTTTTCCCCGTCTTTAGTATAACATTCAACGTACATCATAATATCTTCCATAGAATCTACAAGCTTTTGGGTGAGAGTATCACTGAAATTACCACAAAAATTTCTTGGTAGGGGTGGATCAATTTAATGTTTGAATGGTTGAATCTGATTATGTATTCGCTCAAGGACTCAGAATGTCCTTGTTGAACATTGAACAATTTGGCCATTGAGACTCTCTGGTGTTTACTTCCGTAGAATTGGTGAATCAATATCTTGGAGAGATCATGGTAGTTTGTCACAGATAACCTAAATAGGTTCATAAACCATCTCAGTGTCATTTCCTTAAGTTTTTCGAAAAGGAGTTTACACTTCAAGGAGTTGGTGGCACCTATTGTCTCTGACATATTGTTGACGGGGTTAATATGGTTATGTGGGTCACTTTTCTCGTCTAAGGTTACCAACAACAGAGGCATGAGATCCTATGGTACTGATGCGTCCCATGTTTTGTCGAAGAGGGATTGGGGATCTAGGATCTCTGGACCCTCTGTTTGGTCGACCTCATCTTTCCCTTGTTGTTGAAGATGCAAAAATTTGTCTTGTAGGGTTTTATTATGGAAAGATAACTCGTCCATAAAGGATTGCACCTCCGTTATAGATTATTAGTCGCCATTGTTGCTGCTGAACATTGAATAAACTAATCGTTGAGACTCTCTGGTGTTTACTTTCATACAATTGCTGATTCAACATCTTGGACAGTTCTTGGTAACCCCTCAGAATATCCATGCTGAACATTGAAGAAATTGGTCGTTGAGGCTCTCTGGTGTTTACATCTGTAGAATTTACGAATCAACGTCTTGGAGAGGTATTGATAGTTTGTCGCAGATAACATAAATAGGCTCATAAACCATCTCAGTGTCACCTTCTTAAGTGTTTCAAAAAGGACTTTACACTTCAAGGAGTCGGTGGCACATATTATCTCCATCAGAGTGTTGTTAGAGTTAGTATGCTTATGTAAGACACTTTTCCCATCTAAGGTTACCAATGAACGGGGACATGAAATCCTATGGTACTGATGCGTCTCATATTTTGTCAAAGATGGGTTGGGATCTAGGATTTTCGTACCTTCTGGTTGATCGAAAACCTCTTTTGTTGTTGTTAAAGATGCAAAATTTTGTCTTGCAAGGTTTAATTGTGGCAACATAACTCTTCTATAAAGGCTTGCATCTTCGTTATAGATTCTTAGTCATCATTGTTGCTTATTACGAGTACAATAGATGTTATATTTCCTGCAATTAGGTAGACAAGAAGGCTCAAGGTTCTAGTATGTGAAAAATGAATGAAATGTCTAGGTGCCGGATTGAGGTATTTATAGATGCGGTTATCTAGTAAAGGAGCCATTGGGGAGACCTATTCTAATGACTACAAAGTTCGCTATCGTCCTCTGACTTCGACCCAGTAATGAGAGTGAATGGAGTGAGTTATCCCTAAAAATAAGAGGCGTGGTTAACATATAAGACTAGGGTTATTTCATTTACTCGTCTAACATGTGGTTTTGCACGTTCTCCCACGAGACACAACAAATGGTTATTGGACTGGGTAGATCATATGCTTGCCACCTCATCCTGCTCTTTAGCGGCCAAATATCCACCATATTATTTATGTATTAGCAAGCTAATAGTTCGAACTATTTTGATCTAACTAAAAACATCTTAGTCCATATTAAAAAAATATCGTTTAAAATTACAAGTGGTATCACGAGCTAAATTCATATTTTTTAATCTATATCAAAACTAGATTTGAAATACTTATGGGAGTATTTAAATTGGATATATAGATATACTCTTTGTAAGTGATCATGGTCAAGTTATGCGGAAAGAAAGTAGAAAACTAATAATGAATTGAAACGAGAGACATCTTAACGGTTAATTGTCATCTACTATCAATCTATCAAAATTTTATTGAATGCATTTCCTATTTTACCCTTTTAGACTAAAAATATTACACTACCAAAAGGATGTATTGGTAATCAACTAATTACCACATTTTTATTTAAGTTCTCCTCTCCATATTGTTGCCATTTGTCGATCATCTATTTGTCCAAATTGAACTAACAATTTTTCAAAACTCCTTCCTTTCCATTCCCCTCTCTCTGTCAATTTCTTCTCTTTCCCGTCACAAACTTCCCCCCCCCCCCCTCTCTCTCTGGCCAACAAACCCTAGCACACCACCGTCGAATCTCTTTGAGATGGAAGACAAAACAATCTCGTAAATGCAGCAACTCATGCCTCCACAAATCTTCATATCTGATTATATGGTATCGTAGAAACTCATATTTCATTTCAATATCTCTTTCACTCCTTTTTATTTTATTTATAGTTCACGACGGCTATGGGTTTGCTAACAATTATTGTTACTTTTTTTTGTCTCAGTTTTGTTTCAGCATCTATTCACATTTGAGGAATGCTTAAGTCATTCTATCTTTCTCTTAAGGGCAGTTTTAGTTTTAACCTCTGCAGAAGAAATGATATACTTGAAAAGAAAGGTCTCAAACCCCCTAATTACTTGAAGACTGGAACCACTATTGTTGGTTTTGTTTTCCAGGTCTAAATAATAATAGTTTTAATGTCTAACTTTTGTTTAATAATTTTAGGGCTTTAATTACTATTGTGTTGGGCACTATTTATGTTGTAGGTTGCCGATCTATTGGTTTTTGTAACCTCAGCAAGGTCTTCATCTGAAGAAACTGCTTCTCACTATATTGACATGTTTGGAAATCAATGCCTTTCTGTATTTAAGTCTCTTGGTTTTGAGATGTTTGCAATTACTAATTTTCTATTATCCAATTATTTTATCAAACCTAAAGTTGAATTGATACAATGGTGCAAGATTGAGTGAGAACAAGTTAGACATTTCCCTTTTATATGAAGTTTTTTTTATTTCAGGGAAAACTATTCCAACTTATGATCCACGCACATGAGAAGTGATTGCTCAAGTAGCTGAAGGCGGTGCTAAAGATATCAATCGTGCATTATTAGAAGCTCGTGAGGCCTTTGATGATGGACCTTAGCCTAAAATGATTGCTTATGTAAGCATTTCCTGAGTGGAGTGTCCACCTTCTATTAGTTTTAAATTTATAATGATGATGATTTTTGATGACTCCATCAGGAAAGAAGTCGTATATTGTTATGCTTTGCTGATTTGGTTGAGAAAGTAATGATAAGATTTGCTTTTATATGTGTTTATTTCCTGTTTGTAATTTTGATCTTATTTAGTTAAACTCATATTCATGATGTTTTTAGATTATACACACTGAAGCATATATTGGTCAGCCAAAAGTGAAATCCGCCGCTGCTGCTTGTCGCTCGTATGTTGCTCTCTTTAATCTCACAAGCTCGCCGTTGTTTATCCTTAATCAGGAGAATCACTTGTCATTTTCATAATCTTTCTAATATCAAGATGGAGTATGCAGCTGTTGCACCCCAAAATTTGCCCTCACAATACAAGACTTTGTGTTCTAAGAAGATTCACAAGGTTCACATATGTTGCACCCTAATTTTTGACCTTAAGATCCCACCTCCTTGCTATTGAAACCACTATTGTTCAAGGATTACATTAACAGTAAAAAGGGCGAAATGGTCATTTATGCACTATGGTTTCCGTTTCTGAGTTCCGTGTTTTTGTCTAAAATGGATTTGAATTTTCATGGCTGATTGCGGTTTATGAGTGCTGTTCAATTACGATTTTCTGGGCCGGATTGATTTATGGTTTGGTATTTTATCAATGACTAATTGGATTTTCTTCTCCGCGGGTTTAGAGTCTACCTGGATTTGGGATTTATTTGTACAAGTCTGATTGGTGAAGTTAATTCATTTGTGAAAGTTTAATTGATTAATTTCTAGTCATTTGAATTTAATCTGAGGCGCCCATTCATTTAATTGGATTTGTTTAAGAAATTCATTTGGTTTCGGGTGAAACATTTGAAAAGAATATTCGGAAAGTAATATAAAAAAATATTGAATTTATTCATAATATCTTTATTATTATTTAAAGTTACAAGGAGGAAATAATTTGAAAAGAAGAAATATTTATTGAATTTTATTCATGAATATTTTCTTACAAGGTACAAAAATAAGATCAAATTACACTAAAAAGTCCTAATCTTTCTAAGTCCTTCATGCTAGATTTTTCAACCGACTTCATGGTGAATTTTCTTCTGGTACCTGCAAAACCGACACAAGCAGAGCAAAAACAGAATATCAAATTTAAAAGAAGTTTCTTTGATCGGTTGACACCCTCAGAGTAAAGTTCATCACCGGGTGTCGGGAGGGCACGACTAATGCCGAAACCAAACTCCCATCCCAACCTCCGACCTCGGCTACCAACCGGCAGCATCCGTTCTTATTTTTGGGACAGCCGAGAAAGAGAGATAAAAGAAGTTTTTGGCCGAGAAAAAGATTTTGCCGAAAAAGTGATTATCTGCCGAAATTGGATTTGTAAAGCCAAACTGATTGTAATCGGGATATGTTTCATCAAGTAAATATTGGATATCTGAGTTTCAGATCCAGATGCCGATAGATCCGAACCGGTTCCGAAAAGTCCAACACCTGAAATTTCCAAAACAGATTGATATCAGAATGAATCCATATCAGCAAGTGAAATACAAACCAAAAACCGATATCGAAGTGAAATCTGTAATCAAACCAATCCAAACATAAGTCACAACAAAACAGGAACTGATATCGAAGTGAAATCCGGAGGCAAACCAGCCCGAAAAAAGATCACTGCGTAGAAACCCTAGACGAAGCGGACGGAGAAAGCGAAAACGGCCGTAGGTCACCAGAACAACCATCGACGGCCGTGCATCTGAACGAAGGAGAAGATTCGAACGAAGACCGCCTTCGTCTCTCGACGGGCAATCCACCTTCGTAGCCTCAGATTTGACATCATCACAGGCCTTAAAGAACAACGAAAACGCCATCGCCATCCGCCATTGTCAGAATCTGGGTAGGAAGTTTGTAAAACTCATATTTGTGCTGATATTGTTCATAGTTTCATTTTCAGGAGATAGAGGGGTCGAAACATGCAAAACGAAGCAAAGACGAAGAGAAACGAGCCATGACGGCGCCGCGGGTAGCGATAGGGTTTTCGAAACCCTAAAAGCAGTGTTATCCAGTTTTCAAGCATTGAGTTGGGGCTGGGTTGATCACCGGCCCAACTTTATTCTTTTACTTATCATTGTTTTTATTTTTAGTATTAAACATATAACAAAACAATTAAAATTAATTTCTGATTAGTAATAATATAATTTTCTTCAAATAATAATAGTGAGTTTTTCTTTTTAAAAGATAACTAGTTTAGCTTTTTTTAATAATAATAAACAAATCCTTCTCTTTAAAAATAATTAGGCCTTTTTAAATTAAACTCTCTTGAAAATTAAACTTAAAAATATTTATTTTAGTATTAAGAAGAACTTCTATTCTGACTTAAATTAAAAATTCTTTCATATATCACGAATAAGCGACAAAAATGTATATAAATTTCCCCTCTCGTTTCCTAACTTGTCTAATTCTGTCTGCTAACATTGATCGTTTGTTTTTTCAGTTTGGCTCATTGCACTTTTATTTCTTTTTTGTATTTTCATTCAAACCTTCATTATTATTGTAACTGCTCCTCATATGTAATCTCGCGAACAAATAATCGCGTTTATCTTTTCGCTCTTTAATTTCCGCTGTTTGTATGGTTTAAATTCTCGCATTTGCATCGTTAATTTGTCACATTACACACATCCGAAGGTTAGGTCTAACTGTTTGGCCGCCGCGCCAATAGTCCGTAAAACTTCACACATTCAATTTCAAATCCTCAAAACTACAAACTACAAACCCTAATTTTCACAAATGCCTCGCCGCAGGCAAAATTACAATTTTACCCTTAGCATTAGGTCAAAGAGCCGCCGCGCTCATTTTAGGGTTTCCCGCCGTGGAATCCCTAATTTAACCCTAATTACAACTTAATATTTCAACGTAGAGATTTGGAGTTTCTACACTCCACGTAAGCGTGTCCTTAAGATGCGTTTATTCCCCTTGAGACCTTGACCACAGTCAAGAAGTTTCTAACCTCCCTATTGAGGGGAACTACGATTACTCTGATTCCACTCCCGTAAGGATACGTAGGCACAAGATGCGATGTCTTGCCGAGTAAACTTAGAATTAACCCCCTTTATTATTTATTATTGCTTATTTATATTTTATTTATCTTTGCTATTTAATTATTTTGCTTATTATTTTGTAATTGTTTCTTGGATGTAAAGTTGTTTAATTATTTAATTATTATTATGGTTAGTAATTAGGGAGTGTAACAACATGTATGTAATATTAAAATAAATTTAGATCACTTTTAAATAAAGATAATTAAAATAAACACGTCACACACGTAAGTCGATTTTAATCGCCGTCTCACTTCCTAAGGATATCCCTCAAGTTGCCTACGAATAATGGTTAAGTGGGGTGTATAAAGCAAGTCCCTCAAAAAAGAAAATCATCAAAGTCCCTTATGGTTGCCTTTACGAATCGAGTCCCTTTCGAAAAATGATGATAGTCCCTCCAGTTTACTTATTACACCCCACAATGGCCTTCAAAAATCCAATTGTCCCTCACATGTCCCTTAACATCCAAAGTAAGGACTACCTACTCCATTATAGTAGGGATAGTCTTACTAAGGAAAGGATAAAGAATAAGAAAGACCTTAAAACATTAGGGTAGGCTACTCCTAGATACTTGCTCACTTCAAAACTTTTTTCACACTTAAACAAATTTCTAACAAAATTTTCAAACAAGTTTTTTTTCACATCCATACACGGATTATTATTAAACTATTCTGAAATTTTTTGCTATTCACACACTACACTTTCAAAACAATTCAAAAGTGAGCTTAAGTACCTAAGAGCCCATGGATAACCATGGATGAAAAGGGTGCTAACACCTTCCCTTTTCATAACCTACCCCCCGGACCCAAAATATTCTCTAAGGTCTTTCCTGTTCTTTTATAACCTTTCCTTATGGATAAAATAAAAGTCGGTGGCGACTCTTGCTATCCGCAACATTGTTTAAAGTCAGTTCTCCCACCGTGTTACAGAACTGGCGACTCTGCTGGGGATAAATTTAAGAGGGGTACCCTTAGGAATTAAGATCACTTTAAATTGTTTGCCTTGTTTGCTTTATTATTATATTGTTGGGGTGCTCTTATGTGTGAAAGGTCCTAACCCGGATCTAGTGTACCTTAGGTAAATGGCAATAGACCAAGGAAACTGTACGACGTATATCGATACGGTTGATCTGGTGGCCATAGTTAGTGCGACTTCTTGGTTGGTGCTTATATTCCTTAAGTCAAGTTGAGGATAATATTGAGGTTGCCATATGTTGTCAATGCACTAACTGACTTTTAGAACCCTAGTTAACTCATCTTGGCCTTTAGAAAGTAGTGAGGTAACCGGCTTTGGTGCAGACTGAAGTTGGTTGACACTCGATACTACGCTCATTGAGATCTTAAACTTGGAGGGTTTTGGTTGGCAAGTAAGTTGCCTTCTGAACAACCACCCTTGTGAAGGATCAATGATATTGAGATCCCTTAGAACCTGGTTACTTTTGTAGGACAGGATGAACCATCTAACTTCAGGGGAGGGTACTTGCCTTTGAACCTCATGCAAGCCTTTAAACCTAGGGCTATGGTGTGACTTGTTTGTGTGTGCCACATGTTTGTGATTGAGCATGACATCATGACATCATCATGCATCATAAGCATATCATTTTCCCTAACCATTTCAAGGACCAAAGGATTTATCTTTGTTCTTTGTTGCAGGTCATGGCTTCTGCTCGTAGAAACACCATCAGGATCAACTT